CTATTCCTCCTGCTCATCTTCTTTAATTATGCAGAGAACGATCGATGCTAGTATAAATAGAAATGGGCAAGAGGATTACTGGGAGGAGAAACTTGTATTTTAAAATCAACTAAATTTGAATAAAGGAAGAAAATGTGGGTGCACACTGTTGAAAACTGGATGCTCAATAGTGATGTCACACAATTGAGAATCAGAGATTAAGCACTTCTATAGAAAGGAATAATGTCATAAAATAGATTAGCATATTAAACTTTGAGTCCTTATTTTATGTGATTTTTCATATAATGTATTCTAGTTGTATTAAATATATATGACAGTTGTAAAATATTTACCATGTTGTTACTCCAACTGATTTTTATTTCCTCAAGATGCAATAAATACATATTTTTCAATTATATGACTTTAGAAAATAGAATCAGATATCCATATTAATGATGCAAATTTATGGGACCTGCAGATGGCGTAATGGTTATGTCACTGGACTCCAACGTAGTCGACCACAGTTCGAGTCCTAGACCTGGTTGCTTAAAAGCTCATGCCAAGTGCGTGTGAATGCATTCCCAAAATCACAGGAAGAGAATGAAAGAGAAGGGACTGTGGTGTGGCCATACCCCCTGGGAGGGAGGTAATTTTTCACTTTCTGTTTCTGTGTCTTTCTCTTTCTCTCCAGGAAGCACACATGTCCTATAGTAAAAATCTCTCCAAAAACAACAACAACAACAAAAAGATGCGAATTTATGATAAAAATCTCCTATGAAAGAATTTTACTAGGTAACATAATACTTTCCTTTTTTTTTTTCCCTACCAAAGAAATGCAGTTATTATCTCTGGATTGAATGACAGGGAAAGTTTCAGAGCCTAGAACAGAAGTTCCTAATAAAAAATAAATGACTTCTCCAATTTGAAATCACAGAGAGATTTTAGGTACACAGAATTTAATTATCCTCATTAGAATTAGGCCAGAAAACAAACCTTTATCTCATGAGAAGCCTGATAATGTTACTAATGATCACAATCAAGCATAGTTGGGTTTTCCATGTCATCTGCAAGATGACTTCTTCCCTAGAATATTACTCTTTATTCCAGGAGCAAATAAATAGTATGAAATAATTGTGTTTAGTAAGGCTAGTTATTAACCACATTTTATTCCCAAACTGACCAGACCTGACCCTTCTGGTATACAAAAATTAATGAGTATGGTAAAACATGCATTACACCTTTTTGTGTTTCTAAATCAGCACTTTCATTCAGATTAACATTTAAGAGACATCCTCGAACAATAAAATACCCACCATACACTCTAAACTTCATAGTCTTTATAAAATATACAACATTGGATAGGGTAAAGGGAGGTTTAAATTTTGTTAATTTGAGGAATTTATATACTCTTTGTGTATTCCTAGACTCTGGACTACATTTTAAGGAAAAGACTTTAAATCGTGCCTGTGTCCAAGGGAATAAAACAGGATGTCTATGAGTAGAGTGCAGAGGAATGAATGTTTGAGAATGACTAGAGACTAACATTCTTTCCTTTCATACTGAAAAATTTTATGTAACCCTTTGCTCATCATTGACCACTTATTCTTCCCAAAGAAAGGCTGAAAGTTCATTTGTTCTACTTCACTGTGTTTAAAGATTAGAGATGTTTTTAAAATAGCAAATGATTTTTGTTTTTATCACCTTTAATAAGCACTTTTGTCACTGGTTTATAGGGTTTTTGTTTTGTTCTTTAATAACTTTTGGAAGAATCCACACAGATAAATAAAAGTCTTCCTGCTGTTAACATTGGTACTTGAAATTTGCAAAGACATAGCCATGTAAAATTTTTAATTGCTCATTATCTCAAATTATGAAAAATATACTTTATGCTTTCTGATGCCTCATACATTCCTAATAATAGTTATCATACACATAGATACTATGGAGGATGGAACAGACCACAAGCAAAGGCCCTATAATCTGAACAGGCGTTGCAAAGTCTGTTAGTCTGCTCCAGAATGTGGTAAAATCAGAGTTACAGAACTCAGAACAAAAAGCCATCTTTCTTTTCATGAGGTTTTCTACAAAGATTCAGTCTTTCACAGTAAGTCCTTTAGCTCCCCAACATGCCTACCTGGCTTCCCTATGTCACACATAAATTTAGTTCACAAATAAAGCCCATTTCCCATTTCAAAAACTATGGTGAACAACTTTGCTTTCTTCTTATCATCACCCTACATCTCCTACCACTTCACTATTGTCATCCACTCTACAGTACTTTCTGGCATTGAATTCTCATTCTACATTTTGGAATAGATCAAGGAACAAGTACTCATATCTCATTCTCATACCTATAACATTTCACTCCCAACATAGCCTTCTGCAAGCATTTTTCCCCTTTTCTGTTTTTCACTATTAGTAGTTTAGTTTTACAAGACATAGGTCAATATGCCTTCATCCCTTTTTTCGAGTTTAACAAATGTTTAGGAGTGACTCTTCTGTATCAGTTGCCACACTAGGCATTAGAGTTACGGCATCAAACAAACAAACAAAAAGAGATGATTTCTGCCCTCATGAATTTTACAGTCTAGTGGAAAATATAGGCTGATACCCGATAATCAGTACATGTGCTATAGATAAAATGATAATAAACTGTGCAGGAAAGATTTAATGCTGCTGATCCACCAATGTTGTGCAGCACTTTCATGTCTTCAGGAGCGCTGGTTTGTGTGACTGGCCCTGTGAGTGTAGCCTTTGTGAAATCCCCTATGGTACTAACTGGTAAGGCCACTTCCTATACATATGGCACTGAACTACACTGTACCAACTTGACTAGCTAGATTGTGGAAATGATTAGATAGATGCTAGACACCTGCTTTCCTTTGAGTTTCAGGAATTGTGACTATCACACAGGCAGTATGTGCCTATGTGAGCGGCCTTCTATAGAAGGTCTGGAGCCTAAGAATGGAGCTGACTTCCTGAACAGAAACACGTGATACATGTTGTTGCTATCCCTGCTAGAAGAATACATGTGTCTTTTGCACCCCTGAATGGGAACCTTTTGGAAGACCTCTTGATATCCTCCTGACTCCACTTGATTCACTTTTCTATTGTTGATCCTGTTGGATAGCCTTTTTTTATGTAATAAATTGTGACTTTGAAAATAACTACTTCTGATCAGTGAGAAACCATATAGCAAATCACTAAATCAGTGGTTGGTCATGGAACCTTTCCCAAAATGTATCACTGAAAAAAAGACGCAGAGTAAGGAGAAAAGGAATGATAGCATTATGCTATTTCAGACCAGGTGGTCAGGGAGACTCTCTCCAGCAGAGCCCTGCAAAAATGACGGATTAAGTTAGACAACTATGCAGAGGAAGAATGTCCCAGCTAGAGGCAACAGTAAGTGCAAAGGCCACAGAATAGTGTAATAATTGGTAGTTCCAGTGTGACCAAATCTACAAGAGTGGGATAGAAAAGTATATGATATAGGTTAGAGTAAAAACGCCCAACACAGTCCATGTTCCATGTAAAACTAACCAAAGAAAAATTGACAGTATCTTCTTGATACTTATGGAATCAATGAATATAATATCCAAATGATTTATTTTAAGAAAGGTAGATCACATGCTGGCCCATGAAACTTTTCTCACTAAATAAATCTGAAATTTCTCAGTAAGAGGCATAGTTTCGAGGTCTTATAAATGTTATTAATAAGGGAAATGAAACTTTTCTCTTCAAGTGAAATCCATCTATTAATGGTAAGATATATATCTTGGGGGTTTATCACCCAGAGGTGAAGTACCTCTCAAGTGAAGGACCCAGTGTGCTGTAAGCAAGTTTTTGACTTTTACATATTTGCATGTGCTTTCTCATACTGTCTAATATTTCTTATTAAAGCTTATATGAGTATATTCTATGAATTCTAAACAATTATTTGACCCTGTATAATTTCCAAATATTCCAAATTAACAACCATATTATAATATTGTTTCTTGGAAATAAATGAATGATCTGAGAACTTAATGTTTGATGTATTCATAATGAGTCTTCATTTAATCAAAGTTTTTTATTAGTTAATTTAATAAACTTAATTGAGGATATATTAACAACTTCTTGACATACAATGTCATATGATGAGTGTATTGTGAACAAACACAATTTTACACTCATAAAACTGATAATCTAGGTCAGGCACGGTAGCACAATGACAACACAATACTCTCATACTGAGGCCATGTGAGAAAGCCCTAGGTTTGCATCCCAAGATATCCTCATGCATTCTGGGTACTCAAATGTGTGTATGCCTATAATTCGGGCTGTCTGAGGTTAGTGGTAAGGTTGAGGTGTTAATACTGTCAAGGGTGTCTCTGTTACTTGTTCTACTGCTCTTTATCTCTCTGTCTCCTTCATTTATAGAAAAATTAACAAACAAAATTACAAAACTGATAATTTAATGACAAAGGCAGGCATTGAACAACTTAAATTACTGAAGAATTATTATAAGTGCTACAAGGACATTATATTTAGTGTGTATTAAGCTCATTTGTCTTACTTATAATCACTGAAAATAAATTTTTAATCTTTTCCAGTCCACCACATAAATGCTGCATGCAAGACATGTATTCATATGATTTAATGTAGTCTATTTTAAAATTTGAAATGAGTAATATTTGGACTTGAAAATTATTTCTATAAATGGTTAATAACACAGAACACTTTGAGGAGGTTATGATAAAAATAGTGTAGTGACTTTTTTATTTTTCTGGTGTTTTTAAAGTTATCTTTAGAGGGAAAAAACACCATAGGTAATGATGGTAAAATGTGAATTTAATCATGAAATAAAATATCTGTATAGTAAGCAAGGCATCAAATATGCTCAAACAAGCAGCCTCAGCATAGCCTTAATCTCGTCTTTAAAGGAAGTTTATGACTGTAATACAAATCAACTTTATTTTTATATGAGCAATTTTAAAAGAGAATGAAGGAGACTATACTGACCTTTAGAACAATATGATTTCTTTTCTTTACTTAGGCTTCTCTGGTTTTATTTCTTACTAAGTGACCTGGCGATACAAAGACAACAGAGCAATTTATTATCTTTATTATACAACATTCCATATTACATAGAGATATTGTCATTGAAAAAATTGGCTTATGCCTCCAGATGCAATAACAAAATGACAGCTGTTATGATAAACTTCATACTCACCAAGCTTCTATGTCTGTTCTTCTAGTTCTTGGGTCACTGGTGCCCTGAAAACTACACAATTATACTCATTAGTAATAGTGCTTGTTTATTAGATATTTCTGTTCCTGTCTTTATTTTAACCTGCTTGTCAGTCATTATGGCGTACAATTTATTGAGAGAAATGATAGGCTGTCACTTTATTTGGAACCATATAATAAGATAGCCTTAGCATTCATTCAAAAGATCTGGATCCAGTGGCTCAATTGAATGACAGTAAATTATAGTGGAACTACAAAATGGTAATGGCCATTGGAAGTCTCTCCTCTAACATTCAACCTGTCATTTGCATTATTTTAACTTAAAAATAAAAGATAGTTCCCTGTCATGCCATTTGCCCGAATGTGTGTCTAAAGCAATTTAGAAATTACCTGATAGGTTCAAGTAATTTTAAAACAAAATCACTAGCTTAACTGAAACACAATAAATCTGCTCCTCATTACTTCATTTTAGACATAGACACATCGTTTTATGACAGCATTGTAAAAGTAAAGTGACTGCCATATGTTTTAAAAATGCAACCATTGAGAGAGCAGGAGTAATTACAAAGCTTACTAAGGGATTTAAAATGTGACCATTTAAATGACCGTCAGTCATCCCCAAAGTAATTATGGACAAAAAAAAAATCTTTGAGGTTGACATACTGTCAATAAGTGAACAGTGCTCTATTTGAAAGATTATAGATATTTCTATGCTAAATTAAGAAGATGCTTAAATAATACACACTTGTATTATTAACCTGATCTAATGTCCATCTAATTCAAGTTTCCACATGCTTTACTCACCTTAGCACCTGTCTAAAGAAATATTAATTTGATTGAATTTCAATACCACTTGCATACACGGTTTGTTCAATTTTTTCTAATAAAATGTTTAATTTATTTTAATTAAATCTGTTTTCCCCTCATTTAATTTTCTAAAGTTCAGTAGTTATTACTGATTAATAGATACCATGCTTTACATTTTTTAAGAGAAATGATTGTCCTGCATACAATCCTTCTGAAATACAAAAAACCTTTTTGACCATTTTTTACATTCTATGTAAAATTATGATGATCTGGCTTTGAAATGCATGTGAAAAAAATTACAGTTCTGGGACCAGCAATTAGCATAATGGCTATGTTGCTGGACTCCCACATAGTCGACAGCGGTTCGAGTCCCGGACCTGGTGGCTTAAACTCACACCGGGCACATGTGCGTGTGTGCCCAAGATTCCGAGAGGAGAATGGAGGAGAAGGGATTGTGGCGTGGCCATCCCCCCTGGGGGTGATTTCTTGCTTTCTGTCTCTGTCTCTCTCTGTCTGTCTGGGGAGCGCATGCGCCCTATAGCCAAAGCCTCTCAAAAAAAAAAAAATTAGAGTTCTAAGACTTTTAATACAAATATATTTGGGGAAACAAAACTGAAACATTTCCTTATTGGGTAGGTGATGAGAATTAGGAGGTCAGATGTATGGGGACTTCAAAAAGTGTGTAGAAAATGGAAATTAAACTACAAATTTATATTGTTAAAAAATAGAAAGAAAATGGGACCAGCAGTTAGCGTGATGACTGTCGTTGGACTCCCACGTAGTCGACCGCGGTTCGTGTCCCGGACCCAGTGGCTTAAAACTCACACCGGGTGTGTGTGTGTGTGTGCCCAAGACCCTGAGAGGAGAATGGAGGAGAAGGGATTGCGGCGTGACCATCCCCCCTGGGGGGTGATTTCTTACTTTCTGTCTCTCTCTCTCTCTCTCTGTCTGGCGAGCACACGTGCCCTATAGCAAAAACCTCTCAAAAAAGAAAAAAAAAAAGGAAAGAAAATCATCAATCCTCAAAGGGACCCAACAGTGGCACAGTAGTGACACAACACTCTGTGAGATTGAACCACATGGAGGGTTCTGGATTTGTGTCCAGATACCTTCCTGAATGTGTCACATGTTCATATTTCCATGATTTAGGGCTAGCTGAAGCTGTGGCTGGCTTGTGGCACCAAGACCTGTTGGGAGTGCTGTCTCTGGGTCTCTTTTTCTCTGTCTCTCTCTAATAAATAAACTTAAAATAATATTAAATGCAAGCATAGCTTTTTTTTTCTAAAATGCATTTTTTTTTTTGGAGAGGTTTTTCGCTATAGGGCACATGCGCTTGCCAGACAGACAGAGAGAGACATAGATACAGAAAGTGAGAAATCACCCCCCAGGGGGGATGGCCATGCCACAATCCCTTCTCCTCCATTCTCCTCCCGGGATCTTGGGCACACAGGCAGACGCGCCCGGCATGAGTTTTAAGCCACCGGGTCCGGGACGTGAACCACAATCGACTACGTGGGAATCCAGCGACATAGCCATTACGCTAACTACTGGTTCCCCCTAATATGCATTTTCTATAAACCTTATAAGATCCCTTGTATATCAAAACTTCTGTGATTAGTATGATAAGTTTTATCAGTAAAGAAAAATAAACATTTAATGTTACGTTCTGCTAAATTTAGACCCCCATATACTCCTTCTCAAAATCAATATACTATTATACTCAAATGTACATTTTATAGTATATACCTATTGATTTTGGTGCTTTTAGACTAGAATCACTGAAAGGGATATAATTTCATTGTTAATTTTAATTAATAATAGAACTTAACTATATAATATAATATCCTACTGGTGATCAATATTTTTTCTGATGATTTTTATTCTTATAAAAATTGTGTGTGTTTTAATATATTTATCATAATAATTATACATTTTTAATAAAATATAGGTTTTTCTTAAATTTTTTTCTGTAATTATTTGCCTGAAGGATTTATAATGATCAAGTGTATTTGATATAATTTTCTAAGATTTTCAATTGATAATTCTACATATTAAAATGTTTTCTTTGTAAAAATAAATTTACTTGAGAGTACATGTGTTCACCAAAGAGATAGAAAGAGCGAGAGAGAGAAACAGGAAAAGTTAAAAAACAATCACCACCACCCCCAGGTGAATGGTCACATCCCAATTCCCTTTTTTTTATTTTCCTGTTGGGACTTTGGGCCGCACATGTATTTAGTGTGTTTTTCAAGCCATTGGGTCCAGAACTCAAACTGTGTAGTCAGCCATGAAGGATCCAGCCATCTTACCCACCATTTCTATTCCATTACACAAATGCATATATACAGAGAATAGTTCTTTCAAGGTTTTTATGATTTAACTCACTGGCGTAAGGTGAAAAATAAGCAATTCTTAGCTATCATGCTTAATCTTTTTATATTTAGATCATATGATTTATTTAATATTAAAACATTGAAATTATTAGAAAATGTTCAATAAGATTAATTTTTCAGTATAATAATTTATCTCTGTGAGATAAATTTCATTTAAGTAAAGACTTTCCCCTCCCATTATCTAAATTACTTTGCCTATTTTTTCAGTTTTTGTTTGTTTGTTTGTTTTATGAGAAAGAGGGGACTTCCAACGAGGTTTTGTCACACTGTAGTCCTCTTCTAGTCTTTGCAGCCAGAATCATGGGTGTGTGTGCCCATTGGCTCATCCAGCATGTTTAGGTAAAGTGAAAACCAGTTCTTTTCAGTGTGGCTCTAGTATAGCCTCTTGACACTACCACTTTCACCATCCTACTGCCTTCAGAATGGCAATTATCCTTACATTGAATATTTTAAAAATAAATCCCTACAACATTGACCTTTTCGAAGAAGTAAAAATCATGACAAGAATACATTTGGAGTTATAAACTGTTATTTGTTTATATAGTGAACTCTCATTTTTTTTAGTACATTTTTTTTCTCTTAACCAAAACAATCCATTCATTCAATTCATTTAATTGCCCAATTGCATGTATGACAATTTTCCTACAAAGGCTGGAATTTGATAGATCTCAGAGACAAAATTTTACTAGACAATCCCACACACACAAAAAAAATAACATTCAAAAAACAGCTCAAGAAGCGTGTAGTATACTCTCATTGATCTACATAAATCACCTCGTATTTAAGAAGTAAGCATTCTTCATTTCATAATATAGATTAAAGTTTTCAGAAGGACAGGATAGATATGATAAATACCTATCATAATTTTTCTGTCAGAACTCCATGGAGCATTTTGAGTTTGCTCAGAAAATTCTAGAACTAGTACTAAAGAATTTAGTTAGCAAATTCTAGAGCTAATACTAAAAAGTCCATTATACGTACAAAAATCATAAAATTGTATCAAAAAAAGAATTTCTTTTTGAATATCTATCATTTTTAATTTGCCTTTATCTCTGCATCTGTCCATTGGTCCAAATAGAATGGTGACTACAATAAATTAAGGGAATAGTAAATTAAGGTAGTAACATTTCACATGCTTGAAGCCAAAATTGTATCAAGTAATAAGATTACCTTAAAGTAGAAACCCATTAATAAATGTATACCTTAATGAGTAGAATTCACTAATTAAACCATTGCTATTTCAAGTTTTTTGGTCTGGGCTATGTGCACTATAGTTAGCATAGCAATCCTGTGATTGCTATTCTTAGAAAGGCCTTTTGAAGATTTGCCCACCTTGGCTGCATCTGGATTTCCTGAGGCAATTAAATGAGAGTGCATTTAGGCAAGTTCTCAAACTTTAAAGTGCATAAGAATCAACTGGAGACCCTGTTAAAATGTAGATTCTGATTCAATCAGTTAGAGATTGGGCCTGATATTCATCATTTCTAACAAGTCCCCGGATAATGTTAACCACATCTTGAATGAGAACCTAACAAAACAAGTTCCAATTTCAGAACAGCAGGAAAGGCTAAATTGATAAAAAGAGGCAGGCAATGGATTTTTAAAACTTTTCACTTTCCACCTATTTTCCTAACATCCTGCCAAATTTATTACAGCAAAGCTGTTTTTCCAGTACAGATAGTCATGTTGCAGAAAAAGCAAATCATGTACATACAAGGAAAATTAGATGAGTTGATTTAGGTCTTTACCACAGCAGTACTTTTTTGCTTAAAATGATGACGTAAAGAAAGGATGACATGAGAAGCTTTATTTCAAACACCTCAAGAAGGAAGTGTCATTCTCAGTAGCTTTACAATATAAAATAGAGCACCACCAAAAGTAAAAAGCAAAAACAAAAAAACTACTAGACAAAAACAGGGCTATAAAAATAAATATATCATTAAGGAGACTCCATTATATGAGCATGTTAGACGAAGCAAAAAATCATGAAATAGAGAACCAAGACCAATGACTGTGAGAATTAAAAACTGTGTAAAAAAATTAATATGCCATAAATATTAGCCATATAAAGACAATGTAACAAAATCAGGAGCTAAGGAAAAGAAGAAATTAAACTGTTAACAGCATCATATTTTTAAAGGACAGAAAGTATATGTGCATGAGAGAGAGAAAGAGTGAGTAAAGGAGAGAGAAAGCACTTCCCATTGTCTTAGAGTAGAAACCCATTAATAAACATATGCCTTGTTGAGTAGAATTCACTAATTAAACCATTGCTCAAGCTCCTTCTTCTGGGCTATGTGCATTAGAGTTAGCATAGCAATCCTGTGATTGCTATGGTCTTGCCACAATTCTTTTTCCTCTCTTTCTCCACTAGTCATGACCCTGGGTACAAACATATACACCTGTTAGGTGTTACAAACCACCACAGCTGGGATCTTAACTTACATGGGTTAACTGTGTGGGATCTGGTTCCATACAACACTTAACTAACACATTCCAGGGCAAACCAAGTTTTGTTGCTTTTGGTAAGAACAAATAGATATACTATTAAAATTATAGCTAATTATTAAGTATATCTCAGAGTTATTAGATTTACAGGGATTTTTTTGGAGACAATGTAATTTAAGGAATATTTATGTGAAGTTCAGCATTTATTTCAGCTTCAAATTATATATTTATATACTTAATATTTTAATAAATTATATAAAATCATATTTGTGTAAAATATGATATAATTGATACAATATATATGAAGCACATATATATTATATAATTTCATGTACATTAGATTAAAATTTTAAATGAAAAATTATGATCCTGGGGCCAGCAGATGGTGTATGGTCTTGCCACAATTCTTTTTCCTCTCTTTCTCCACTAGTCATGACCCTGGGTACAAACATATACACCTGTTAGGTGTTACAAACCACCACAGCTGGGATCTTAACTTACATGGGTTAACTGTGTGGGATCTGGTTCCATACAACACTTAACTAACACATTCCAGGGCAAACCAAGTTTTGTTGCTTTTGGTAAGAACAAATAGATATACTATTAAAATTATAGCTAATTATTAAGTATATCTCAGAGTTATTAGATTTACAGGGATTTTTTTGGAGACAATGTAATTTAAGGAATATTTATGTGAAGTTCAGCATTTATTTCAGCTTCAAATTATATATTTATATATATTATAGATATGTGTGCGTTCGTGTCCAAAATATAAAAAGGTTGGTGAAATGGAGGAGAAGGGATTATGGCATAACTCCATGAGAGGTGCTTCTTCGTTTACCCTATTTCTCATCTGTCTCTCTCCAGCACTCCTCTGATAAAAATTTTAAATAAACAGGACCAGCAGATAGCGTAATGGTTACATTGTTAGACTTCCAAGTAGTTGACTGTGGTTTAAATCCAGACCTGGTAGCTTGAAACTCACGCCAGGCACGTTGCCAAGCACGTGTGCATGCATGCCCAAAATCCCAAGAGGAGAATAAAGAAGGGGTTGCAGTGTGGCCATTCCTGGCGGAGGTGGGGGGGATGTCTCACCTTCTGTCTCTCTGTATCTCTGGTGAGCACACACACCCTACAGTAAAAATCTCTCTCAGAAAAAAAAAATGTTCAATAGAAAATTGTGATCCCGTTTATTGTCTATATTTCCCACAATTATGCATATAGTAATAACAGGGCTTTTGTGGGTTAAAAATACATATTGTTGGACCCTATCTTGGATTTTCTGATTCATAGGGTCGAATAATTTGATTTAAAGCTAGCTCCCAAGAGAAGCTGATGTTGTTGGCTTAGTTATTATAGGTTGAAAACTACAGAGTAGTATTAAGCATTTGTAGTGAGAATTGTCTTATGGCTGGCATAGACGAGAAACTTTCTTGTCAACTATGTAGTCTGTTACTAAGTAATTAACCTATCTTGATTCTAAACCACAGACTACTACCAGTATTTCCTGAGATTGCCGCCAATCAATTATTGGCCCTCAGATTTTGTTCAATGTCTTTTTATGACTCCAACCTATGAGAAACCTTTATGTTATTTTTTTTAAGTTTATTAGTTTGTTTGGTTGGTTAGATTTGTTTGCGAGAGGTATGCGCATTCACTGAAGAGAGACAGAAAGACAGAGAAAAGGAGAAAACACTCCCAGGATTTGAACTGAGGTTGATTATGTAGGATTTGGCTTTACCTAACTACTAGGCCATGAGGCCAGCCCTGCTTTGTTTTAATAAGAAAAAGAGTGAGAGAAATTGAAAAACAAAAGCAAAAACAAACAAACAAACAAAAACCACCACCACCACCACCAACAACAAAAAGGTATTTTCGATACGGTCTCACCAGGACATGATCTTTCTGTAAATTAAGTTATCTAGGATCACTGTTTCACACCACTATAATGGTGTGTTTAGATTGATCCAGGATTCAAATCTAGCCTTCTATGCATCGCTGGCATTATGCCTGCACCACCCACCGTGGCTGAGCCTGTTACTTTTTTTTAATAAGTTCCCAGACAGCATATGCATTTGCCAGAGTGAAACCAACAGAGAGAGAGATAGAGAGAAATTACCCCTGATGGGGTTTGGTGGCATCGTAATCCCTTCTCCTCCACTTCTCTATCACATTGGGATTTTGAAAATACATATACACATACCTGGCATGTTTTTCAAGTCTCTGGAGTGGAGATTTAAACGACAATCAGCCACGTGGAATCGGGCTTCCCTTAACCACCAGGCTATGAGGCCAGACAGTACCCTCTTTTAACATCAGAAATGATTATTGTTTTAGTCAACCATCATCTGTTTAAGCATGTCACATGCATATTATTTTATTTGCTCACCATTTTCTTTCACATCCAAGCCTTTCTTTTATTGAAGAATCTCTTTTCCCATGTCTTCATACTGTACATACCGTAGATATTTCATTAGCTAGGTTGTTTGTAGTCCATTTTCTCAGATTTTAGACTGCATTCCTGAAATATAGTTTAGTTGATTATACAGTTACCAATTGTTAAATTCCTTCAGATTTTGAAGATTTTGCTCTACTTTTTCTACTCTTTGGTATTCAACTTTACTATTAAAAAGTCAGCAGTCAGCCTGAGAGATATTTCTTTGGATGTTGTCTGTCTTTTCTCTCTAGAATCTTATAAAACTTTTTAACTCTTTTGGTATTATACAGTTTTACAATAATAACTATAGATGAGAATTTCTTTCTTCTTTTCTTGAATTTTAGCTTGATAAATGTAGGGCTTCTGGAATCTGAGAGCGCATGTCTTTTGTCAGATCTGAAACATTCTTAGAATCATCCCTGAGTATTATTGCCTCTTCGCACCTATTCTCATTTGTTTCTAAAACTCCAATTAAAGGCATATTAATTCAGTCTCTTTCATATTTTTAACTCATGTTTTGTATTTTCCACCTTTGTCTCTTTTTCATAAATTCTGGAATATGCCTTTATATATATATTTTTATATATTATCTTTTTTTAATCCATTCTTTACATTCCTAATTTCAATAAATATATTGCCCTGTTCAAGTAGGGATACCTTATTAATTTTCAAATATGCATTTTACATCATGTGTTTCTGCAATGTGTTTTCAATATTCTTTTTATCTTTAATCATCTTAAAAATACTTATTGTATATTTGTTTTTTAATGTCAGTGTTTTCAATTTTGAGTTGAGTTGGTTGAGTTGAGTCTTGATGTTGGTTACATCTTCCTCATATTGAAAAGCTATTTTCTGTGGAGATTTACAAGAGACTAGTTTTAAAGTATGTCCCTTCAGAGAGTATTCAATTTGTTTTGCTGGGTGCCTACAGTACCATCAACCTGGAAACCCTATCAGTGATATCTTTAGCTTAGCGGTTTGAGAATTACATGATAGCATGATTTCAGCCCCAAAACTACAAGAAGGATAGCCTATGGCTATAAATTCTGACAGAAGATATACTCTTTATACCAACTGAGCTGGTCAAAGTACCATACAGTCTTCTTTTCGGTGTCTGTTTTGTTCTAATTCATCGTTTCATTGAACATGTAGTTCTTCACGCTTCTGGCTGTCTGCACCGTTTATAAACTTTTTAGATTTATGTCTCTAGCCTTGCATATTCCAAATACGTTCATGCTTGGAAAAACTGTTCTGTACACTGTAAAGATGTACAATAATTAAATGTAATTTTTTTCAGAGAGAGAGAGAGAGATTTTTGTTATAGAGTGTGTGTGCTTGCCAGAGAGGCAGAAAGTGAGAAATCACCCCCCAGGGAGATGGCCACGCCGTAATTCCTTCTCTCCTACTCTCTCAGGGCTTAAGTCCAATGTGAGTTTCAAGCAGCTAAGTCCAGGACTCAAGCCGCAGTCAGCCATGTGGGAGTCCAATGATGTAACCATTACGCTATCTGCTTGTCCCTACTCTATATTTTAAAGATGTAAAAAAAGTTAATACCTGGATTATTGGTCATCACGCTTTACTTAAGTTTTTATACCTCCTAAGAGGATATTGAGCGGTCCAGCCAAAGTGAACTGCAGTGTTGAAAGCTGCATTACCAACCATGGGTTCAGATTCCTGGGTCACCTTGAAAAATTGATGTGCAAATGTACATGAATCCAAGATCTTGACAAGATAGAGGGCATTGTGGCATGAAGAAACCCTGTTGAAGGTGCTTTCTCTCTCTCTGACTCTTGTGAATATGTATGTGCTCTCTTCATGAATAAAATAAGCTTTCAAAAAAGAACATTAAGTTTTAAATCTATGATATCTGAAATTTTCAACTAAAATTGTAGATGGAAAGAAAATACATAGTCTGTACGTTTCAATATTAAAATTTCAGTATAAAACTATTACTTTACTCTTTTAATGCATTCAATAGGATCTAAGTGAATTCATATCTACCATTATCTATATAAAACTGTATTGTAGTGTTACTTTTTTTTTAAGAGAAATTTTTGCTATAGAACACATGCACTCACCAGAGAAACAGAGAGGGAAAGAAAGACAGAAAGTGAGAAATCACTCCCTGGGGGGATGATCACACCACAGTCCCTTCTCTTCCATTCTCCTCTAGGGATCTTGGGCACACACGCCCATGTGCTTGGCGTGAGTTTTAAGTTGCCAGGTCTGGGACTCGAACCACAGTTGACTAAGTGGGAGTCCAGCAACATAACCATTACACCACCTTCTTGTCCCAATAGCGTTATATTTTAATATTCAAACGTCTTTTATTATTTCCCAGGCTAAGAAAAAAGTTCCACATGTAGCCCCACCTGCTGTGCAAAGTTCCACAATACTTAGTGTGAGTTAATGGTAGGTTTTGTTTGGGAAAACAAGGTCAGCAAATAAGAAAGTATGGGCTCCTATCTTCATATTATCCCTTTGAGAGGACAGAGCACTCCCCTGGATATACAGTGTGGAACTGTATTTTAGTGAATGGACACTCTCAATTTTTCTCCTTTCTTATAGGGGCAATTTGAGAACTTCCTTAACGGTGAAGAGTTACATGGATAATTTGCACACCTGTCTATCTGGAACTGAATGTCAGCATTTTGGGAAAGCACCTGGCATACCAGCTGCACGTCATCTGGAAGTCTTCAGGTTAACAGGAAATCGCAGATCCCTCTAAGGGGTAGAAAAGCCATTAGTCTCCTTGAAAATTCATTTTGGTATATCCTCTCCTTCTGAGAAAAGAGAGAAAAAAAAATTCCCAGTCAATTCATTACACGTTAGTAGGAAACCTTGATTTCTATTTAGTCAACCTTGTGTCTTCTTTCCCCTGTTTGTGTAACATTTACTGCACAGATACGTGCCCTATTATACTGCATTTTACACATGAACATTTTAGTGGCTCATATTCTCCTCAACTAAATTATATATATAAATTGAAATTGATTTTTCAATTTCTCTAAAGTTCTAAATGTTAACAAAGTTTCCTTATATTGAATTACTATACAATTATTAATAGTACACAATTGATTAAAACATGAAAAATAAAATTTTACTGGAAATGTATTTCTTGATGAGATAGATAGGTCTTTTAAAAATTAATTCATGTACTCATAGATGAGTGTAACATATTGCTAGAATAAAGCAGGGTTCAAAAGAAGTGAGCAGCAATTTATGAGTCACCAATAAATTCAAGGCTTAGAAAACAAATTATGATTGTTAAGTTCATTATTTATAGTAGAACCTTGAACAGATTTCAACTAGCTTAACATAAAACAAATAAGTATATGAAACACACATAATTAAGAAAAAAATTAATTGATTAGGGACAGTGAATAGACATACCTATAAAAAATGAATATTAAATTTTCCATGTCCAATAATGTATTACCTTATTTTAATAAAAATATTCCCCTATATGCCTAAAAAGATTTAAATCAAAAGTACAACCTTTACATATCAGAAGGAGAAATAGAAATGTTTCACCTTTTATTTGAAATTATTCACAATAAGCAGTGGAGAAAGTTCTTTGATTACAGGGACTATGCAAACATGATGATTTTGAATTGCTCTTTTTTAAAAAATATATTCATTTTGGATACTTTATTGTTTATTTTTCTTTTTTCTTCCCTTCTTCCTTTCTTTCCTTCCTTCCTACCACACCTAGAAGTTTTGTTTTATACCCTTGGAGAACGTAATACAATAAAATTCAAATAAGTTAAAATTTTTGCTTTTTTGGGACCAAGCCCATGGACTACTGATTAAATCAGCTGAATCTCACACAACTGACTGCAGCTTTGGTAGCTTGAGAAAACACGTTGTGTGTGTGTGTATGTGTGTGTGTGTGTGTGTGTGCATGAGTGATCAAAATCTAAAATGCGGGTGAAGTGCTTTCTCACCCTCCCTTTCTTTCTCCAGTGAGCATACACAAACTCTGGCAATTTTTTTATTTGGAGAGGATTTTGCTATAGGGCATGTGCACTCCCCAGAAAGACAGAGAGAGACAGAGAGACATAAAGCGAGAAATCACCCCCAGGGGGGATAGCCACACTGCAATCCCTTCTTCTCCATTCTCCTCTAGGGATCTTAGGCATGCATGCACACCCGCCCAGTGTGAGTTTAAGCCACAGGGTCTGGGACTCGAACCATGGTTGACTACATGGGAGTCCAGCAACATAACCATTATGCCAACTGCTGGTCTCTTCTGGCAACATTTTTTAAGCTACTGGATCCAGGACTTGAAGTGCAGTCAGCCAATGTGGGAGTCCAATGATGTGACTATTATGCCAACTCTCTGGCAAAGTTTTAAAAACATTTTGTTCTGTTTTATTTTTTCTTCAATTTTTCTTAAGTTTAAAGTATTTCATTGACAAAGGACAAGACATACTAAGCTACCAGAAAATACAACCCTAAGACAAATATATTATTCAATAAATCTGAAGAAATCCCACGGATTTGGTCATGCTGGCACTTTATTTCATTCAAGAACCAAAGAACCACTATTTGATATTGCAAGCTTCACATTGTCACAGGTTAATTAAAATTCCAAGTCCTGATAAGCCACTTCATCAGGTGAATAATGTCACCCCAAGCTCTACATATTTCTGTTAGAGTTTTGAGGGTTGAAAGGAAAGGGATCTATTCAGACTGAGTCTGCCACTAGCCAGTACCTTTCTACTTCTGATAAAATAATATATTCTTAGGTTGATTTATCAGGAAAGCAGACTCAACATATTAAGGATGTGTGTGTTCGCAGGAGACTAGGGCATGACATGTTCTCTTCTCTCAACCACAGGCAGTCATGGCCAGTAGCCATTCTCGAACATTGGAATGAATTACTTATAATGGCATTCTGTTAATAGAGATATGGAAATGGGTTAGAGGTTGCATTGAATAGTCAGACCAGATTAAAGTAAATGAAAGTAGTAAGTAATTTTCTATCATGACGTATGTACTTTTAGTAAGAGTAGGCAGTGGAATAAAAAAGAAACTAAAGATAAAATGCATTAGAATTAATCACAAATTAACTTTTCCAAACAAAGAAAAATGAGGAGGAAAATCTAAAGAGAAAAGATTGAACTATTAAATCTTACAGAGTTTCCACAGAAAAAGAGGTGGAAAGGAAGGAGCCAGTGAAAAGAGATAAGGGAAATCACAATTCAGTCATATATTCACTTATTAATAAA